ATGTTAGACCAGTTTATGTGTTTATGTAGTATGTTAGACTAGTTTAAGTGTTTATGTAGTTAATAAAACCTTACTTGTATCACACTTGACGTGGTTCATTGTTTGCTTATAACTGGAGTCACTTAATCATGCAGATTTATGCTACAAGCTTTTGTAGAATTGTACAGTAAGAAAGTTATTTCCCTTAACCAGGAAACTAACGTTCTTAGAATTGACAAGACAGTTGACCCTAAGAGGTCAGCTAAATATCTACAGCGGATCTAAAATATGAATAATTAATTATAACTAGTTATGGTTAATTATTCATATTTCCTGTTATTTCATATTATTCACGAATTTCCCCTGCTCAGGGAGGAGGGAGCAATGAACACTGTGTAGGGATCATATCGATCGGAACACAGTTCATGCATGTAGCTCACTTCTAACGAGCTGGCGCAAGGACTGGATTAACCGCTGGGCTACATCACGTGTCATTCACCGGTGAGAAATCTTTAAAAGTACTACAATACCAGGAAGGAAGATTGGGTTGTTGATGTTTGTCTGCCATTCTCGCTCTGTCTGCACAGCGTGCGTAAACGCGCTGATGACGTATCCTGTCTGCGCGAACCCGGTGCGCAGAGGTATGCTAATACATACATTGACAGGCAGGTAGGAAAGCATATTAAAATGCTCGGAACGAGAATATATAAACACAGAATATATAAATTCAGACAAATACATTTAGACCACTTAACTTAATGATTGCTATCGGGATGTGAAGAGACTTTCAACCAGCATAACAAAAAATGTTTCTGAAGACAATCACTTATTGCACCTTTAATATATAAACGAACTGCAGTATGTGTGAAACAGGGGTAAAATTGAAGGTTAAAATTGACTTATTTGTTAAAATTACACTTAATGAAGTTTTTAAAATAATAAAGTTACAATTACATAATAATATTTCTACTTCAATTCGTTTTTTCAAATATAAACATAATGGTGTCTGTCATAAAAACTTGGATTTATTCAAACATAAATGAAACATTGAAGAACAGTAACATTTATAATGAATATGTTATATGGTGCATATATTTAGCAAAATGCCCCCTCTACAGTTTATTTTTCTATCTGACTAATGAGTTTATGGTCACCGAATATGTTTTTCTGATGAAAATGTGACATTATGTGACATTGTTTACAAGCCGTTATATTGACATCTTTGTGCGGCTGAAACACTGATTGAGCGATTACATGAGACAGGATACGGATTGTAAAGATGTACTCTTTCTTTTAACTTACCTTCGGACGTTTAGTCATGTTTATTTTGTGCTGAAGTTGGTATTAATGTGGAGGAGATGATTAGATGAACTGAGGCGCTACAGCGATTTGTCACTCCACATTAAACAGCGCCAAAACAGCATTTATTGTTTGAATACTGCAATACAATGGACATAATGTGAAATCTGAGACTTTGTTTCATATTAAAAGTACCAAAGCACAATGCTTATTGTGATTTATTAGATGGGAAGTGCCCTTCAATGTTCCCTCCAATAACTGAAAACAGGCTAGACTAATCGATTCTTGGGATAAATGATAATCGATTAATATCGAGATATCAATATTTTTTACCCAGCCCTACTGTATATTGCATACGGACTCACAGGATCTGCAGGGCGGAGATCTTGTCCTTCAGCAGTTCCTGGGCCTTGTTGAAGTCTGACAGCATGTTTTGTGCTTCTCTGTGGTGGAGAGCATTCAGCTCGGCCATCTCACGCTCGTGTTTCTTAAACAGGTCCTGCTCATGAGCTCTGTGAATACAAACACACACACGCACACGTCACTCTCAATGACTCTGCAAAGCTCTCTGTAACCCCACAGCACTACAGCTGTAGGCTTGAAGGATATTTCATAAACAGAGAAATAGATTTTGAGATGGAAATAATTGAAACATATGTGATACAAAATGATCTTTGCATATATTATGTTGTATTTTAAATATATTGTATGTTATACTTCTAAACCGGGAAATGTAATCAATAGTTTTGATTCATTAAATTGTTTAGATTGAGATTCATACTGGTTCACAGGATGAATATACATGCATGCATGCATGCATGCATAAATATATATATATATAGACTAAATACTTGTTTCCCCCACTGTATATATATATATATATATTATTATTTATCTGCACCACCATTCAAAAGATTTCATATTATTGTTTTTGAAAGAAGTCTTGCTTGCTCACCAAGGCTGCATTTATTAGATTGAAAATACAGTAAAAACAGTAATATTTTGAAATAATATAATTTAAATTTTTCCAATTTCAATATAATTTAAAATGTAATTTATTCCTGTGATGCACAGCTGAATTTTCAGTCTTCAGTGTCACATGATCCTTCAGAAATCATTCTAATATGCTGATGCTCAAACATTTCTTATTGTCAATATTACAGAATAAATGTTAAAAAAAACATTTTTGTGGAAAGCATGATGCATTTTTTCAGGATGCTTTGATGAACAGAAAGTTCCAAACAACTGTCACTTTTGATCAATTTAATGCATCATTGCTGAATAAAAGTATTGTAAAATGTAAAAATCTTAAATTATTTTTCCTAACCTATACATATATTCTTTCTTCTTGTTTTATGAAAAAAAAATCTCACTCAACTGTGTTACATTTATGATTAAAACAAAACAAACAAACAAACAAAAAACTATTTGCCACTGGGGTAAGAAAATATACTTAAGATATGTTCTATGAATACAAAGCTTAGACAAATGTATTTTTAAACAGTGTTTACAACTGTTTGGAGGACTAGTTTGAGAAAATATATTTTGCAGTATAACCCATTCCCTCAGAAAATAAACTACACTGTCTTTTTTGTATTTTCAAACATTTAATTTTTTCAAAACTTGTAATGTTGTCATTCAGCTCAGAGCTGGTTAGTTTGATTCATGGCTTAGAGCTCTTTATTAAAGAATGCTTTGAAGTCTCTATGGAGAAAATGAATAAGAAATATGTAAGCAGGGCCGCTATACAAAAAGTGCGGTCACTGTTGTGATCTATTAGTGCATAAATAACATTCACAAAGCGTTGCGTTACAAGAGTTGTGCTGTTTTCAAAAGACAACACACTTCCGGCAACATACTATAGATTTTTAGTTAGGACGTGTTCATTTTCCATACTGCAATATCTATGCTATATGGCTTTTATCTGAAACACAATTCAGCCACATGCTGTGATGGCTTCACATAAAGAGCAATAAAGCAGGATCTCCTCTCTGTAAATGATACACCCCTGGGGAATGGCGATGCAATTTATTTGCCGCTTTTATCTCAGGACCTGGATATGTCAGTGTTACATAATTGAAAGTGAAATGAGATCAGCACCCGTCTTGCATTATGATGTGTGTTGCTAAACAATCACATTATCTCAAAACAGCCACTATGTACTGTATGGCTTTTTTACTTATTAATACAAGGGTGAAATATTAATATCAAAAAATATAATGAGTTTGGGTTTTCTAATCCGATTGATTTCCCTTTTTAACAGTCTGTTTTCTTTTCTTTAAACTACTACAAAAGACACACAACACCATCCAAAAGAGCCAGACAGCAGCAAGATGACTGTGGGCAAAATGACAGACAAATCCTGATAGGACTTTCTAGGCAAGAACATGGTGCCCTTTTTTCTTTTATTCTTAATTTTGTTCCACTTGAAACCCCATTCTGCTTGAAAATAATTTAATTTCCATCTCTTTCATCCTCACCAATGACTCCTGCCACATAAAACCAGAGGAGAATGTCACATTAGAGGTTGTTTAAGGACTGCAGATGTTCTCTACTGAACAAGGATGACCTCATGCAACCCCATGCATGCAGGCGAGGTGAAATGTTCTCATTTTGCAACGAGTTTACTCACTGTTTCCTAAATGCAGTGGTAGATGACATACACAAATCGAGTACAAAATAAAATATTACTCCAGTAAAAGTGCAAGTACCCAAATTTTATTTCACTTGAGTTAAAGTACAAAAGTACTTGATTTTGTATAAAGTAAAACGTATTTTATCGATCATGTTTATTATTTATTCTAGCCAGCACTAGTCAGACTAGTCATTAATCAGCACTAATAAGAAAGATTAGTGCAGACAATTAATGTATTGATCTGCAAATAAGCAATGTTATTTTAGTATCATTGAGATACTATTATAGTTTTTATTATATTTTATTAATATTTTCAGATTTTTCATTTTAGTTTTAGTGAAAGTTTTAGTCATTTTGTTGTGTGCTTTTGTCATTTTAGAAGATTTTTTATTAGGTTTTATTTCAGTTTTAGTTTTAGTTAAGTAAATTAAAACGAGAAATGCTGCACTGGCAACTAGCTGAAATAAAAAGATTTTTCTTTCATTTTGTTTCAGTTAGCATTTATTTTATTTGAAGTAATTGTTTTATTTAAATGTTTTATGGTTTTAATTTTACTTTCAGATTTAGTTTTAGTCAACTCTATTCCCCCTTTTTCAACATTCATTAACAAAATTATTACTAGAATATCCATTACTAATGCAGTTACTGATAATTAAAGTGTGCAAATAAGTGAAATAATATAACATACCAGTATTTTAAAAATGAAAAAAAATATATATCTGTGTAAACATGAGGTGACGAGTAGTATAAAAATACAACACTGACATCACAAGGGGCAAAATGTGTTGACATTTTAAGAGGAATGCTATGAGAAACACTTATTAAGATGAATGCTATGCTATTAAGACAAACACTATTTTAAAAAAGTTCAATATAAAGAGGAACGATACGTTATTTTTAAAAAGCGGTGAAGTAAAAAGTATAATGTTTTGCTTTGGATGTACTGAAGTAAAAGTTTCCCAAAATAAAAATACTCAGATGAAGTACTTAAGAAGTAAAAATAACTTTGTTACACTGCCTAAATGCAAGAACACTTCACAATCTCCAATCCAAGACTCACCTGATCTGCTGATTGGCCTCGCTACGGATCTTCAAAACCTCTTTGCCCTTGAGTTCCAGCTCCTTGGTCAAAGTGCTGATGTTCTCGTTCAGGGTGTGAATCTCGTGGTCCAGATTGGCAATGTGCTTCTTCCTGCGACTGACCTCCTCCTGCAGATCTGAGATGCGACTCAGAAGCTCACGTTCCTGCAACACACGAGAACGCAGGGTAAACCGAGTTATTGTGTGTTTGTTTTCGATTTCCAAAGAAACTTGTTAAACAATGGTTTAAAAGATCAAAACCTATGTTTATTGGTTGATTATGTGACAGTTTGAACCAATCTGGGCACGGGGGTGGGACTAAGCATCAACAATTGTACCTGTTTGGCTCAGAGGACGAAATGCATTGGTTTCTTCTGACTAATCGATGTTGTCAAAATGTGATGACAATCACATACGCTACGGAGTCTCTGAATATCCAAATAAGACAAATGAAAAGAGAGAATCTCTGCTTTACGACACTTTTTAAAGCATTCAGATAGGATTGGCGGTTCAAAAGTTATTAAACATTTAAGAACAATAGTTATTTTTAGCCGCGGGCGGCTGTCTCGGTCTTTGAGGGTTTAAACAGCATAGTTATAGAATCAAATGCCATAAAGTAGCCATACCTTTCCATATATAATTATCAAGGTAATTATCATTTCTGTATGGGCTGAAAGACTGGCTGAACTGGCTTTTTTTTGGGTATATTTTAAAAATACGTTTGAACATGTTATGTGTGCTAAGATATGGACAATCTGGCCCCTAAAAGAAAGTAGCTGAGCCTTCTGTATATCAACAGTATGTCAAGAAAACATCTGCTCTTCCTGCTGTTGCATTATCTCAGTAAGCTCATGAATGACGAGTCTGTAACACTCATGTGCTTGGACTCAAGTGTGTGTTGAGGAAAAACAAAATGGTCTTTATTCCCTGACCGTTCACTGGATGTATGTGTGATGTTAATGTGCTGGAGCAGAGCTGTCAGGGGTCTGCCTGTGACATTTTCATTTACACAACTCAAGAGTGTGCCTCCAGCAGAACACCGGAGCACACAGCGGCCTGCTTCTCACTTCCACACTGACTATATATTTGTAGTCAGACTTGGATTTTTTTTAAGCTGCACTGTAATTTTATTGTCATTTTATTGGTAAAAGACTGTAACAATGCTTTGGTTAAATGGTTAACAGTAAAGTCCCTTACTATATACAGTGGAAATCTTTAATAGACCTAACAAGACATTTCATGTAATTTTACAGTAAAATACATTTTGAAAGTGAAAAAGAACGTCATCTTATCATTTACATCGAAAAATTCTCAGAATTTCGTGCGAGACTTTTAACATTTTTCTAATTCAAATAACTATGTTTCTTAGTTTTTTTTTATCAGTTATGCACAAGTTTTTTATTTATTTTTTGCTAAATTAATGTTTATTGCATTATTTTCACGTCTTGTATGTTACCATGATAGTGTTTCGTACTTTTGTACCTTATATCTATTAGTATTTACCTCAGCTCATGGAAAAGCTACTTTTGATGAACGTGGATTCATTTTGTGGCTTTCTCATCACCACCTGTGTTTTTGAAGTGGTTGTTGTCAGTGCATTATAAAAACAGATGGTATATTCACATTAACATCAGTTAATTATTTTTAGCCGCGGGCGGCTGTCTCGGTCTTTGAGGGTTTATAAACAGCATAGTTATAGAATCAAATGCAATAAAGTAGCCATACCTTTCCATATATAATTATCAAGGTAATTATCATTTCTGTATGGGCTGAAAGACTGGCTGAACTGGCTTTTTTTGGGGTATATTTTAAGAATACGTTTGAACATGTTATGTGTGCTAAGATATGGACAATCTGGCCCCTAAAAGAAAGTAGCTGAGCCTTCTGTATATCAACAGTATGTCAAGAAAACATCTGCTCTTCCTGCTGTTGCATTATCTCAGTAAGCTCATGAATGACGAGTCTGTAACACTCATGTGCTTGGACTCAGGTGTGTGTTGAGGAAAAACAAAATGGTCTTTATTCCCTGACCGTTCACTGGATGTATGTGTGATGTTAATGTGCTGGAGCAGAGCTGTCAGGGGTCTGCCTGTGACATTTTCATTTACACAACTCAAGAGTGTGCCTCCAGCAGAACACCGGAGCACACAGCGGCCTGCTTCTCACTTCCACACTGACTATATATTTGTAGTCAGACTTGGATTTTTTTTAAGCTGCACTGTAATTTTATTGTCATTTTATTGGTAAAAGACTGTAACAATGCTTTGGTTAAATGGTTAACAGTAAAGTCCCTTACTATATACAGTGGAAATCTTTAATAGACCTAACAAGACATTTCATGTAATTTTACAGTAAAATACATTTTGAAAGTGAAAAAGAACGTCATCTTATCATTTACATCGAAAAATTCTCAGAATTTCGTGCGAGACTTTTAACATTTTTCTAATTCAAATAACTATGTTTCTTAGTTTTTTTTTATCAGTTATGCACAAGTTTTTTATTTATTTTTTGCTAAATTAATGTTTATTGCATTATTTTCACGTCTTGTATGTTACCATGATAGTGTTTCGTACTTTCGTACTTTATATCTATTAGTATTTACCTCAGCTCATGGAAAAGCTACTTTTGATGAACGTGGATTCATTTTGTGGCTTTGTGGCTTTCACCTGTGTTTTTGAAGTGGTTGTTGTCAGTGCATTATAAAAACAGATGGTATATTCACATTAACATCAGTTAATGGAATACAGGTTTTTACTGTAAATTTAAGTTGATTCTGTGAACCCTGAAATGTTGCAACCACATTTTTGTAGTGAAGCCCTGGCAACCACAACTGCCGGTTGTGTGTTTTATGATAAAACATAAGAACAAATCAAATGAATACAGATTTCATGGGGTCCAAACAATATCTAGACTTGAGGGTGGACTCTTTTCAATTGGATAAGTAAGTAACTAACTAGCAACCGTCAAGGGGTAAATATAGTCACTATGGTAAGATTGTATCTTAAGAACTAGTTTGATTACCTAACAGTTAACCAAGTGGGAATCAGTCTTTTCGATTTCAAATTTGATCAATATATTTTTTTATGTAACTGAATTAAAAAAGTTATGGCCAGTCTTGAACGATGACTAACTTTTAAGACTAGTCTAAGCAGTCGGCCACATAACATTCTAGCAACTGCATAGCAACATGTTAAAAACATGTTATTCACAGGCGGCTACCAAAATGTGTTTCTGCTTTAACATAAGCAACAAAACCAAACTGCAACTGCAATATGTGACCCTGGACCACAAAACCAGTCATAAGTCGCACGGGTATATTTGTAGCAATAGCCAAAAATACATTGTATGGGTCAAAATTATACATTTTTCTTTTATGCCAAAAATCATTAGGATATTAAGTAAAGATCATGTTCCAAGTAGATATTTTGTAAAATTCCAAGCGTAAATATAGCAAAACTTCATTTTTGTTTGGTAATATGCATTGCTAAGAACTTCATTTAGACAACTTTAAAGGCGATTTTCTCAATATTTTGATTTTTTTGCACCCTCAGATTCCAGATATTCAAATAGTTGTATCTCAGCCAAATATTGTCCTATCTTAACAAACCATACATCAATGGAAAGCTTATTTATTCCGCTTTCATATGATTTCAGAAATATTGACCCTTATGACTAGTTTTGTGGTCACACATATGCTTTTTCACTATGGGAACAACCAGCTTCTTCTGTAATGCTCAAATTTAGATTTGTATCTTTTATTCATGAACGGCTACTTTTGCCTGGAGTGAGGTCGAAACACCTGGATAATGGCAGGGTATCGTTGCATAATCTGACTGCATATGAAACCAACTTCAGCTGAATAATTGATTGAAGACTTAGAACACACACACACTCACACAATGTTTGCGTGTTCAACAGCAGCCCGAGCATCAGGTCAAAATAACTCTTGAAGCCCTGGTCATCGAAACCGCTCACCACAGAGAGACCTTCAGCGAATGTCACATCAGCCGTCCACCTGTCACGACAGAGCTAAACCTACAGGAACTGTCATCTGACATCAGCAGGTGGCCCTTTCCTGAAGAAACGCGGCTTTAAAAGTCCAGCGCTCGTTCTAGCGTGCTGAAATCTTTCAGCTCTTATGCCTGAAGCAGAAAGGGTATAATTTGCGAGGGCTGAAGTTAACATCTCTGACCTTTTCCATCAAAGACCGAGACACCTATAAATGTTTCCCTGGAGGAGTACTTCAATGCGTAGGATAATATAAGCATCATTAATGTTGGCCCAGGCCAGGAGACATGCAGACAGATGAGAGGAGGCTGATTAGCAGGTGTCTGGGAGCATGTGTGGAGCTCTGCTCTCCTGGGCATTGTACCCAGAAAGCCCTGAGAGAGGCTGAA